AGTTCGTCAACCTCCAGTATTTTACGGTAGCCCGAGTAAACCGCTTTTAGACAGGTTCCACGTCAACGTCATCAACGGATTCTATTTAAACCGTCGTGCGATATTCTTTGCAAGTTTTTTCCCTTGCATCCGTAGAGCATAGTATTTCCCATTTGATTCTCTGGTCGCTTTTCTATCAGGTCTTCACGTGAAATCCATCGTTTACGGGGTGCCTTGTCATCATGGTGATGTTCGGCTGACAGCTCTGCCCTTCTCGTAACGCGAACATCCATTTAGGTCGTCGTAAGTCCGACGATACGATTATCAAATCGATGATCGACTTCTTTGCACAAGCTTCCCGGTACCAGATATTCTGATGCACTCGTCGATGCTCGAAGTTGTTCATAATGGACAGTCCGCTGTTTACCCAAACCAAAAGCAGCTTCATGCCCCTATTGTTGAGGTCACCATGGTCGTTCTTTCCAGTCACGTCTTTCTACATTTCAGCGTCTATTCCAACATGTGCAATAAAATCGTCCATTACAATGAGAGACGCCATAGTCGACACTTCGTACGGAGGAACTCTACTTCACACTCGTACTCTCCCCACAAATTGGATGCATAGACAAATAGCTAGGTGAAAGCTTTAGCCTGTTGCGGCCTCAGTCAGAGGATCGCCGCTCTTCCGCTTATCGGCTTCATTCACTGATTATGTTTGCCATGTTGGGTCTGCTGCAGCAGTAACTCCGGCCTGACCGCGGCTCGATGAGTCGGCACTTGTTGAAATAGCTTCCACCCTCAAATGTTCAAAATATTAGTTGTAATAACGTTTCCTTGAGTCGAGAGTCGAGCTATGTCCAGGCAATAACTTCCGGCCTCATCGACTAGCTTTTCTCCCTCTGAATTAAGCGATGCTCGAATTCCTGAGTTGCACTGTCGATACTGCTTTCGTTGAACCTGATGTGACTTGCTATAGTGCCATCGCATTGTCTGCCTCCTCGATTAGAACGAATTAGTCGTGTCTTCGTCGTCGTTTCGACGATCTTCTTCAGCCGTCGTTATGCTGCTACGCCCCCAGCTGGCAGAACGCGAAAAGTAAAATCTGGTCGTCGACTTTTCGCTGTCTTCCTTAGTTCCCAAACTGAACCGGTAATACGTTCGAGAAAGGTAGTACAGAGAGGGGCAGGGGGCTAAATTTTACGATCTCTTCACGCTCTCCAGTTTTCATTTTTTATCCGAGCTTGATACCGGATGATATTTCTGTGGAGTTTCCTCAACACCCAGGATGATGTTTTGTTATGTCGCAGACAAGTCATTTGTGATGCCTTATGTTTTAATGATGTATGATCTTCATTTAGGATGAAAACCATTACTTGATTACTAACATTCAGGAACATAAAACCAGCTGATACTGACGCAGCTTTGTCTATCAGCTGTTATATGTCAGTGTAAGTCACTCGTCGAGTCACTCGTTTAATCCCAAGTGGAACTCGAACATCACGGATCTTGAGGGTGGCTTCTGGTTATGGTCATATCTTCAGACTGCCGAAATTAATTTAGCAGTTAATGCAACTTCTACAAACTGACGCCTCGGTCATTTTCATTCTCAGTCCAAATTTTCAGGATGAATAATGCGCTTTCGATGCATTGAGGGTTTGCAGTCAGCTATAAACCTGTTATGAAGTCTGCGATGAACCGACGTAGCGATGTAAATTCAACCCTGCTTATGAAAATCTTTTACTCTGTTAGTAAGGATTTTCAGAAGACATCACTTGATTCGCTGTCTGACGGATTCATAAAATTGATTCGTCCTTGCACAAGGTATGGGCGTAAATGCAGTTGTATTACTTTCTTTTTGTTTTGTTCACACAGCAACGATCCAGAACACTTAAGGTTGAAGCAGCGGCACTAGCCATTTTCAAGGCGGCCAAACGAATCTTCTTTTTGTATATGGCAGTCGTTAATGCGGCTATAATCTGTGATATGTTTGATATTGTGCTCTTTGTCACATTTGCGGTCGGTTCACTTATTTATGTCGTTTATAAAAGGAATATCTCCATGTACTATTCGTTCGTCAGTTATAGCCAAGTGCGGCCTCAAAGTTCGACCTTAAATTTGTGATCTGCGAGTCTGTTGAAATGTTCAAAAATGTACCTACGGATAAAAAATGACCTAATCAGTTTCCTAGAACGAGCTCAGAATCGCCGAATTGTGTTTGTTACAATGCCAAGTATTTGTTCTTTGAAAACATGCAATAATAAAATCTTGGTGTGTTGATCATGTCCATCTGAAAGAGAATGATGAGAAATGACGAATACAAAACCATGCCAAGCACCAAGAAAAGATATTCTTTAATATAATAACGTATTTTAAGGAAGATCCTTATCAGTTTCCATACTGGATTCCACGGAGCGAATATCTGGATGGGTATGCAAAATTCGCTGGCATGTCTTCTTCCCGGTTTCGCCTGATGTTTCGCCTACTTATCGGTAGAATTTTTTATCTCTGTTTCA